TTCCACCCCAAAATTTATCAATTTTTGATGATTCCCGAAAATTTAAGTTGCCTGCTGTGCCATGCGCCGTAGCACATGCCACGTAAGCCGTGGCTCACAATGCAATGAGCAACAACTTAATTTTGCTCCCCCCGATACCTCCCGACTTGATCCGACTTTCATCCTATCTCAATTTAGAGCCAAATATAATTCAAAAATCCAATTAGCCACCTAAAAACATAATTAAATAAATTAATCATATTTTTAACTAATTTATCCCTTAATTAATCTACTTTTTTAGATTTAAAATTTTAGGATGTTATACTCAATGTGTTGTGAATATGCTTATAGAGTACAAGAAATGAGCCATTTTAATTAAGATTTATAATTTGTGAGATTTTTAAAATTAATTTTGTATATTACATGAATTATAGTAATTGATAGTTGATTGATATTATAAAATATTTTCATCCATCTTTTTCTTAACATTCTAAACATAAAAATTTAATCATTATAATATTTATATTTAGTATCACTCTTTGGCCATGTTTGTAGATAAGAATCCTAATCTTGGGAATGAGATTGGAAATAGATTCCACATTCAAACATGTTTGGTGTACTTTAATTTCAATTTCTAAAAATTTTGATTCAAGGAAAGAAGCTAGAACTAGATTCCTATCAAGGTAGTTATGGAATTAGTTGTATTTTATGAAATTATTTTCTATCCCCAGTTCTACCCCTATCATCATCTCCTTTACCTCACCCATTATCATTCCCTTCACCCACAAGCCATTGTCATCCACTCCTAGCGATCATAACGTCAGGCAACAACTACCACCAATGGCTCAGAGGATGTAACGACAAAGCTTAATGTATCCATTGCAATTACTGACAATTTTAATTTTTGAGTAGGAGTGGGGGAGACCATAGTCGGTAATGGAGATGGCCTAGAGGGCAATAGAGAAGTAAAGGATATAGTTGTTTTGATGGTGGATTTAGCGGAGGCTTCTTGTTGCTCCTTCAAACTGAAATCCCTCTAGCACTTAGAACAAAGATCATGGCAGTTGGGCTACCAAAGAAGAGGGTTTAGTTGTTAGAGTTAGTATCGCCATAGCCCTTGAAGGTGATGTTGATCTAGGAGATGATGTTAGGGTTGCTGCCTTAGGAGATGTAGCAAGAGGTGGGTCATTGATGATGGGGTTGCTAGGCTTGATAGATGGAGGTGTTTTTTTTTTAATTTTAAAAAGGGTACTTTGGTTTTTCCCCTATTTTAAGTACATATATTTATTAATATTATATTAGGATTCCATCTTCATATTAAGTACACTTTTAAAATCTAATTCTATTTTGATTTTGATTTCAATTCTAATTTCATTAAAAATTCTTGTATCACACCAAACAGGAGCTTTATTTAAAAAAAAAAAAGATACCAACAATTGTTTTAATTAATTTCCTTTTCTCTCAATCTTTCTTAAAATTTTTGTGTGTGTGAGAGATAGGAACTTAAATATTTCCATACCCCGCACTCTTGTATAATACAAATAATCTTTCAATTTCCTTTTTAGTGGAAAGTAAGCGAAGCACATCCTCATTTGTCATTAAATGTGGTGGTACATGTGATTATTTGACTTGTAGTTCTGTAGAATTGTCAATAATTTATTTTATTCAATGTTATTGAAACCCTCCTCTCCACTTTAAATGGTCAAGGTTCTTTGGTTGCGACTTAAAGTAATTGTAGCCTGAAAAGGGGTTTAATCTTTTAGCCAATGTGATTTTAGACTTAGATTATCGTGTTTGTTAGTGCACAATGATGCTATTCAATTTAAGTAGCTGACTGATGAAGCCCTAAATCGCTTTAGACCATCTATAAAAACTAGATTGTATTTTGGAGCATTCTAGGTCATCTCCCAAGAGAGCAAATGTATATAAATTTCAATCCAAAAGCCAACAAGTTAAAGGATTGAAGAAATTATTCGGCTAGGTCCAAATGCAAGAATTAAATATTTCTAGTTTCAGATTTTAAATGTAATGAGATGAATGAATGAAATGGTGAGCTCAAGCTAGAATTTCTTGTGATAATCCTTGAATTCCATATTTGAAACCACACATGTAATTACAATTAGCTTAAAGAACACTCTAAAACCTTCAAAGTGTTGTGAATCATTAAATCTAATGACCACTAAAGAATTTAAGCCAAGTGAATCAAGATTAATAATGTGATTCAGCCTTATTCATAACCACTAAATTTAGACCAAATTAAGTGGTAGAAAAAATTATTAAACTAAATTCATATAAACTCATATGGATCTAGCTCAAGCTGAAGAGAAAATCTGAACAAGAACACTAAGAACATATGAACACATACAAGAACATTCAAATGAATTCATAAATTTTGGAATTGAAACACAATATTAAATCTCAATTCAACATCCACAACTTTAATCTAAACATGAAAATGGAATCAAAACTTACAACCAACCAAATTACAAATTTTGAATTTCAAAAGAAGAGAAGAAGAAATCATAGAATTGAAACTACAAGTGAGGAAAACGAGTCTAGAAATGTCAAATCACTAATTCATCTTCCTTGAAGTTCAATAAAGAATCAGCCACTCATGCTCCTCTCCATCACTTGGTTGAGTTCTTGAGGTTTAGAGGCTTCCATGGATGAATGAATGTAGAAGATGATGAATCTGAAATTTTGGCTTGAATCTGGACGAAAAGGATGCTGGAGGAAGAAGAAAATCTGGACGAAATTATTGATTAGATGAGAGGAGAGGTCCGGACGTGAATATGAATGAGAGAAGATGAAGAAAAGAAATCTCAAAAAATGGTGAAGAAAAATGGACGAAAATTGAGAGAAAATGAAGAAAGGAAATCTAAAGAGAGAATGTGAATAATTAGCTGAAAATGAAAATAAAAGGCCTATGCAGGTGTGGAAAATTTGAAGGGTGATAATAACAATGCAAGTCCAGATCTGGAATGTTAAATATGAGCTGGAAATGAGCTAGAAAATGGCTAAAATAGGGCTGAAAAATGAGGTGTAAATGGCGCCTAAGAGAGCTGAAACATGAGGCATGGAACATGTGATCAAGGTGTGAGAAATGTGACTTCATTTGGCTTCTAATCAGCTGCCACATAAGCCTCTTTATATCTGAAGTATGTCACACCTAAAATGCTCCTTCTTCACTTGATGATGTGTTCCTCAATGTTTCCCATGCTCCTTTGATTTTTATTTAATTAATTGTTTTCCAAAATAATCTAGAATGACAGCATATCATCTCTTGCTGTCTTCATCTTTATTTAATTTTCACTTCTTAAATTCTGCAAGCAAGTTGTCTAGTCTTTGATCCTTGATTCCAAAATTGCCCTCAACAAAATCTAAAAATAAAAAAACAAGACTAAATAAATTCTAAAAAGAAGAAATAAAAGAAAGAAAAGAGAAATAATGTCCAAGATAACAAATTAGGGTTTGGAAGTGACAAATCAACACCAGTTAGCAACATTAGGGTTCACATAATCAATATAGAAAAGACAATCCAAAATAGAGAATGAAACCCTATTTTGCACAATTTGATGCCAAAACTAAATGTTTTAATATGCAAAATATGTGACTAATCACTAACTACACCAAGTGACATGAGATTGTTTGACATTGTTGTTAGTATTCTATTCTTGTTAAGTGCATTTTAAATAAAGGGTTACAGGGCAATTTCACTATTAAATTTTAGATCTAGGAATGTTTGGGATTCTAAATTTACTTTTGGTGCAATATTTCTATTAATTTTTGAAAGTGGTGCAATATCACCCCTAATGTTAAAAAAAAAAGTCAAGTTTGATTGTAAATTGATCAAGAAATTACAGAAAAAAGCCTCAAGCATTACAAAAGGAGGAAAAAAAATTATAGACAAGGACCAATAAATTTTTGAGGTTTTTTTTAATATATTTTTTGTTAGCTAATGATTAAAATTAATATTTGTTAATGGTAAAAATTATATTGCATCATTTTGAGATTTGAAAGGAAGTATTGTAGAAAAACTGAGTTTAAAATCTTAGATGTTTTGGAAGTTATAGTTTGGGAACAAATTTACCATTTAACGCTTAAATAAAATGCAAAGTTAATGTCCACAATAGTAATTCACCAAAGCTCTCAATCTTATTTAGGAAACTATTGATTGAATTATACATCTATTCATGAACATTATTAATTAAGGATATTAGAGTTAATCAAGTCTTGACTCAATGATATTACTTTTAATCATGCTTTCAGAGAAGTTAGCAAACGTGTTGATTAGTTTACGCATCATGCCTATTGCGTGTGTGTGTAAATTCATAACAATATATATATATATATTAAGGATAATCGGGATATATATATATATATATATATCTTTTGAAATACTCTTCTAAGCTACAAAATATATTTTTTTAAATTCTCTATGCCGTTTTTTATTCTAAAATATAAATCCAGATTGATAATATTAATATCTATAATGTTTAATTTTTCCCTTAATTTTTTTCTATATTTTCTCTGTATGTGTAATTAAATAACAGGAATAATTAATATAGTTTTTTTTTTAATTCGATCCCCTGCTACCATTTCCTGCCTTTGCTACGAGGGCTTTTATTGCTAACGGTGACATCATACGTATCTCAGCAATACCTTTAAAGAGCCAACTTTACAGTTAACTATCTTCTATCTTTATTTTTTTTATGTTGTCTACTTCACCCGGACTCTTGATATACTATATGCTTCATAAAATCTAAATTAATTTTTTCAACGTTTTTCAGGCCAAAAAAAATGATAGATTATTTGGTCTAAAAAATTTAAAAAAATAGGATATAAGAAATAACTTTTATGTACATATTTAGAAACCAAACAAGATAAATAGACACATGATAAAAACAAAAATGTATTATCAAATAGTAACAAAAATATATTAAATATTACCTATTTTATTTAATATATTCATACATATTCTCTTTTGCAATGCATTGTTCATACAAATTACACATAAACAATTTATTGAAAATGTTCGCCAAAGTAATTTATTGAAAAAAAAAATATTTTCGATTTCGAAAAGAAAATATGACAAAACCTGGGGAAAATCATCATCATCATCCTTGTCTTAACTCTTAAGTAACTCTTTGCCAAAGGAAAAACCTAAGCAAAAGTCTACGCTAACATATTAATTCAACTTACTTAGCTTCATGAAGATATATTTATATGAGATCTTCTCAGTATGGGAAGTTGATGGGTTTAGGCTGAATAGCTTTGTGAACAATCTCAGCTTGCTCCTTCAGATGAACCTTGTAAAACCCAGTGGCTGTGGCTGCCGACGGCATCCGACCAACGTATTTGACATCATCGTACCCTCCCTTGTTTTCGGCCTTCATGGCAGTTACAAGTCGAGGTAGGATGTAGTTGTAAGCACCCATGTTCATTGGCTCTTCTTGACACCAAACAATCTCAGCATCTACCAAAAACATAGTAGAACATGAAACACAAATAACTAACATTGTTTTCATGTAACAAATTATGCCAGTAACTCCATATAGTACCTGTTTGAGATGCGAAATTTATTCAGGTTTTTTAGTGAGTGCTCAACCCAACACGCAAGCCAAGACTTCTCTAGTATACTCATTTTGGTCTCTATTATAAAGCACTTCCGCCTACCTTATTAGAACTAAGAAGAGGTGGTTAAATCATTAATTTTGTTAAAAACAGAATAAATTTTGAATTTAACCTCTATTTAAATTAAAATTTTTTAAATTTGCATTACATTCTTTCTCATAATTAGGGGTAATATTGAAAAATATAATTAATGCCCTATCAAGTATCTTATATTAAGGATCAAAAAATCTTTTTAGAAGGCATCTTATAATAGGCGCTATATAATATGTATACTCCCTTCAAACCATAATATAATGCATTTTCTAAGAACTTAACCTGATCCAAAATATAGGGCATTTAATAAATTTTATATTTGTTGTTTCAACTATATATACTCCTATTTCATTTATTACTCTTTTTAAAAAAATCATGCATTAAAATTTTAATTATTATTATTAAGGCTACATAGGGTATTTAATGAGGGTATAAACGAAAAGTTGTAGATATTTTTAAGAATTTAAAGTTTTAACTAACGTTATTCATAAACTGTGAATTAATTATAACTTATATTATAGTCCAGGGGGAGTATATATGTATGTATTCACATAAGTATTCACATAATTTTATTGTTTTATTAGGCATAATAGAAAAATAGGATTTGTAATGAGTACATATACAAAAGAGTGGGCTCGGCATCTATTGAAAATAAAATGATACAAAATTATTTAAGATGGTATGAACATGTATAAAGAAAACCATAGGAAGCATTAGTAAGGACATTGGAATAGTCTGAAGTCTTGTAAAGATAAGTAGAAGAAAACAAAATCTAAAACTTAATAAAATTGTTGAGTGAGGCCTTTTAGTTGACAATATATCAAAATGTTTAGTTGTTAATAGAATAAAATGATATCATACAATCTGTGTAAAAATGACCTTGCCTTAAAGGATAAGGTTTGTTTTTGTTATTAATTATTATTGGAGCTTAGTTAGTAAAGGTTTAGAGGCAGATGAAAATATGCTATGTAACTGAAAATACTTACTGGGATATCTTTTGAGCTCTCGCTGGATGAGGTTAAAAGGGAAAGGACAAAGCTGTTCCACCCTACAAATTGCAACATCCCTTGCATCTACCTTCTTTCGTTCTTCATCAAGTTCATAATATATCTGTATTATTCTAAACAAGTGAGATGTTGCTGCATGGTTTTAATTAATCACCATCTAGTTAGGAAAACTATACAATGTCATGTATAAAATGGCCACACACACACGCATCATAATTGTTATAAAATCCATCAGATGCATCTGTGTTCTTTTAGTGAGTGAAATAAACATACCAATATATGAATATATCGATAATATATTATAGTAAGCTACATTATATGAGTATAAGTTTAAAGAAAGATCTTATATCAAAAGACTAGTTTATTGGGTAGAAGAGTCCTTTATATTTATAAATCTCATATTGCTTGTAAGGCTTCTCGATATAAAATTCATGATAATGTCACCTTGTTTGAGAGCTGACATCTCCAGTGGGCTCAACTCCTCGTCACTTCACTTAACATCTTGTCAATTAAAACTTTCTATGAATAGCCCTCTCTATAACACTAGCCTTTTAAAGAAAGAGGCAATGTTATGAGCTCAAGCCCAAGCAGAGGGCTCATCCTAAAATACTAATTTATTGAGTGAAAAAACTTTTTACACTTAATCCCACTTTACTTATAAGGCTCTCTTTGATGTGGGACACATAACACACTATTCTAGGATATAAACATTATATGACATAATTTACTTTCATACTTTAGGCAATTCACAGGGAAATGTGTCTAAATATTATTAACTGTATGACAAATTACACTATTTAGTATTTATTATAAGCCGTGAACAAGGAAAAAAAGGTATATAATCTATTGGAATAAAATTGACCGACCTTGCCAGAGCAGAGGACGAGACGTCTAATACTAAGCTCGTGGTCGAAATGATCATGGCTATCTTTGATGAGACGCTTGAATCTCGTACCTTGTTTATCAAAACCTGGGTGTCCTTCAACATCATCGAACTCTGATAAGTTTGATTTGCAATCCTTATGGCGAAGAAGGTTCTTGGGTGACATTACTATCAGTGGCTTCCTGAATTCTCTGTGTATCTGCAGCAACAACAAGAAGTGACAGAAGAAGATGGCAAGATGGCAAGATATTATATATAATGACTCTGTTTGATTGAAAGTGAGTCTAAATGAAATCTGAACATAATTAAAATGCAATGACCTGGCGACGAAGAAGGTGGAAGAAATTAGCAGGAGTGGTGACGTTGGCAACCTGCCAATTACTCTTCTGAATTTGTTTTCTCAATGTGGCATCCATTTCTGGTATTAGATATGGATTGTCATCTGCCATCTACCATTATATCAAGTTAATCAGTTCATTAAACCATGACAGTTAGGTCTAGCAAAAAAGATTTGATCATTATTTTAGGAAGCATTTGCATAGTTGTGTATTTAAAATTCTTTATTTGTGTAATTTAAAAAATTTCAAATGAAGAAGATACATGAGTTGAGATTCAAAAAAAATAAAAAAATAAAAATGATGAGTTTTTCTCTATTTTTTAATTAAACAGAGACTACGATGAAAGATGAAAAAAGATAGAGTTATAAATATATAATAAAACCATGAAGAAAATAAGATGTTTAAAATAATTAACATTTTAAATGATTAGAGTGTAGAGGGAATTTAAAATTATAAAAGATTTGTAATAAAAAATAAATTTGGCCGTAAATTTTTGTGCATTTAAATAAAAGATTTGGACCAAATCTAAATTCTCATTAATCCAAACTCACTGTTAAAAAAGTTATATTGTCCTTTTTAGAGTCTACAATACTCAAATTCAAAGTAGTCATATAGTTGTTGTAAAAAAGAATCATTAATGAATTCAAACCAATCATTGCTAAAAGGTTGGGATTTTAGCATGACAACATGTAGTCATTTCACACTTAGTGGTAAACGAAAAGAGAATGTATACACAGACACATGCACACCTGAAGATAGCGTTCTAATTTTCCACTGGAATGCTCAGGACCTTGACCGTCATAACCATGAGGAAGAAGCACCACAAGGCCGGTCTGACGAAGCCACTTGGCTTCACCAGAACTCAAGAAGTTATCAAATATGACTTGTGCTCCATTGGCAAAGTCCCCAAATTGAGCCTCCCATATTACAAGTGAATTAGGGTTTTCCATTGAGTATCCCATTTCAAATCCTAGCACACCAAACTCTGACAATGAACTGCATATTTAGGCATATTGATTAATTAATCTATGTTGGTAAATGAGTTGAGAAAAAGAAATAGATGTAGAGATGATAATTATATAGGAAGAATTTCATTTGGATTCTCACAACAATTAATTACTATAAGATTCATTAGCAATTAAGCATAGAAGAATGACAACAATGCTCAATTGTCAATGAACATTGCAGTATTTAAATGTCTTGAGAGAAATTTGGCATAATTAATTCTCCCGATCATCTATTAGTGAGGTTTGAAGTAGATCTCATTCTATTTTTATCTCCCTCCTTACTAGACAAAGCTATAATTCTAGATTAATCATATAGTGTATATGCATTAATTAGCACAAAATAATGCACAATTTCGCTAAAACAAGATTAGTCCCATAAAAAAATGCCAATATAATATTACTGTTCAGTTACAACAGTGAAAAGCCAAACAAGGTAAAGATTAGTTCCACAGGCATGGCAAAGAAAAATGTAGAAGAAACAAGCTTTTTAGTTAGAAAAATACCTGTATTTAACTGTTTTAAAGACCATATGTTGACTTACCATATATTTAAGCTTCTTAAAGTTATGATATTTAGAACCTTTTTCAAGAATCAAAGATAAGTTACCACTTATGGTTTCTAATGTCATTACCCATAATAGATTTGAATTTGTTACTTCCTTATGATCAAAACTCTTATAACATGGAAAGATCTTATCGTAATTATAGCTATTTTATGTGTTTGAATTTTAAGTTCTAACACAAATATTCATTATTAATTACCTGTTGCTAACAGTAAACATTTCCTCATTTTGGTTGGTCATGATATGACCAAGAGGGCAATATTTGCGGCCAGTTTCCTGATCATGAACCACAGCATGTCGATGACTGAATGTTCCTCTCTCAACATCTTGACCACTGAGTCTCACGTGATTTCCTTCAACCAACAATGTTGCAAAAGCAAGAGCCTCTGCAAATCCCCAATCAATACCTTTACCACTTTCAATCATCTGTGCTCGCGTTTCATAGATCTTCTTCACCGCTCTGTGAGCCGTAAAGTTCTCTGGCAGCACTGTGATTGCTTTTCCCACAGTTTTCAATATGTCTGGATTAACACTACATTCCCATAAACAGGGTGTTTTAATTTGTAAACACAATAGTGCAGTGACTCAAGCTAGTTAATTAATCCACAAATATATCCAGTGAAATTTATAGCAAACTTTACAGTTCATAAGTTATGAATAGGGTAACTTAGTCCGGATTTCTTAAAGGTTGAAGTCCTATATCATGTAGCAACTTTTGTGCTGTGTGGAAAGACTCATGAGATTATGCGAGAGACTCATGAGATTACGAAGATCCCACTTTTTTTTTGGAATATTCTATTTAATCTTTTTCCATAGGAAAGAGGATTCTACACACATACATTTCTCACACACCGTACAAATCACACAACAATCTCACACATAAATATTTTTCTCCCTTCAATCACATGGGGATTGGATCCTTTAACCTCTTGCTTCAACAGATAAAATCATAAAGACGTATTAAGTGCCACTAGACCAAAGGGTTATTAGCGAGGCCCACCCATCGCCTAAGTCTCTCTCTCTCTCTCTCTCTCTCTCTCTCTCTCTCTCTCTCTCTCTCTCTCTCTCTCTCTCTCTCTCTCTCTCTCTCTCTCTCTCTCTTGTGCACAATGAGACTTCAGTTTGAATTCTTTCTCTCTTTATGATCCTTAAAAAAAATCTCTCCGAAGAGGAACCTAGGTCCAACATGTGTGTGTGCATATGTTTGTGTATATATACATACCCAGTATTTCTGATACGTGAAAGTTGCTCAGGAGACTTGAAACCAGACCAATGAGATGAAAGCCAATCTGTTCTTTTAGAAAGATGATCCTTGCTGGCCAAAAATTCTTCATTTAGGATTGAAGTGACCTTCTTGTGTATCTTGTCAATGTTTTCTTGTGTCACCTCCCCTAATTCTAAAAGCTTCTTCTCATATATCTTAAGAGATGATGGATGGCTTCGGATCACCTGCAGCTCAAAATTTCTATACTTTTAAGAACCAAACAGTTAAACATGATCTTTCATGATAAAATACATTTATAGATGTGTTTGCGTGTGTTTGTACGGCCTAACCTTATACATTTTAGGCTGAGTGAAAGATGGTTCATCAATTTCATTGTGGCCAAATCTTCTATAGCACACTAAATCAACAACCACATCAGAATGAAAAGTCTGACGCCATTCAGCAGCAAGCTCACACACATGCACAACTGCTTCCACGTCATCACCATTCACATGAAAGATCGGAGCATCTAAAGCTTTGGCCACATCAGTGCAATACTTTGAAGATCTTCCATAGCTCGGATCCGTCGTAAACGCCACCTGATTGTTAAATACAACATGTATAGTCCCACCTGTTGTGTAATTCGGAAGTGCACTAAGATGAAATGTCTCGTACACAACACCTTGTCCTGCAAAACTTCCATCACCATGAATCAGAATCCCCATGTTCTTACTTCTGTCTAAATCATTTGAAAAGTACTGTTTCGCTCTTGTTTTTCCCAGAACCACTGGGTTCACTGCTTCTAAGTGGCTAGGGTTTGCGACTAATGATAAATGAATCCTCTTTCCTCCTCTTGTTGGACGGTCATAAGATGTTCCTAAGTGGTATTTCACATCACCAGTTCCTGTGTAACACTCTACTTCATCCTCTAGTTGTCCACCACTAAATTCACTAAATATCTGACGAATTGGCTTGCGAACTACGTTACCCAGAACGTTTAATCTTGCTCTGTGTGCCATTCCGATCGTGATGTTCTCGACGCCGAGATCGGCGGCTCGTTCAAACATCTCCTTCATTCCTGGGATTAGGGTTTCTCCTCCTTCAAGCCCAAACCTCTTTGCTGATGTCCACTTTGTGGCCAGGAAGTTCTCAAAAAGCGTGCTCCATGCAAGTCTATCCAGAATAACCTCTCGACGCTCGTGGCTGAATTGTGTTGCTGATGGAGTCTCGATCTTGTCTCTAATCCAGTTACATTTCTCTCTATCTGATATATGCATGTATTCATACCCTATACTTCCACAATATGCTTGTTCAAGTCTTGTCAAGATGGCTCTTAGGGTTTGAACTGGACGATTCTCAGACATGAATCCAGACATTTTCCAGACACCAAGGAAGAATTCTCTATCAAGGTCTGATTCAGTGAAGCCATAAATGGAAGGGTCCAATTCACTTGGAAGATCTGGCTTGTCTAAACCTAATGGGTCTATATTGGCTTTCATGTGGCCAACAACTTGATATGCTCTTACAAGTAATAACAAACGCATGCTTTCTTGAATTGTTTGCCCAGAAATTCCAAGTGAAGTTGGAGCTTGTCCCACAAAGTTTCTAAAGAAATTGTCCCATGATTCATCTACACTGTTTGGATCTTCTTCCCAGGCTCTTTGAAGCTCTTCTAAGTACACACTACTTGTGCCGTCTAAGAAACTGTCAGTGAGTCGAGAAAGTGGGACGGAGCAAGGCACCGGAGGGGGAGTATCGGTTCCGGTTGACGACGATGACTTGGAAACTGTGGTGTGAAAGATTCTGGTCTGTGATGGAAGGACTCTTGTTGTCCTTGTCAGATAATTTGATGATCTAACTTGAGAATGAAGAGTTCTCTTGATTGCTTGTTTTGTAATGCTGAAACTAGCTCTAAACCATGCCATGGCTCTCAGATTCAACGATCAAGAATCAAATATAATGGTGTGTCTCCTCAAAACCTAGACTTTGACATTCCTATAATGAGATATAATCAAACCAATGAAACAAATAGATTTAGTGAAAAAGGATCGAAGCTTCAAATTTGGTTAATTAAGAACAGTTATTGTCCATAAATTTTCTATCAGAATAACCGTAAATGACAATATTTAGATCACCACCATGATGATAACCTAATTAATAGAATCAAATAAGAGAATCCAAATTCAAGGAATTAATTATCGTGAACAATTTAAAGCATTAGATTGAATAAATATTAGGTTGAATTAATCAAAATGATGCTTAATGAAAACAAGAGCTGGTATTCAAGAAATTAAATACAAAATAGAAACTAAATAATTCATAAAATCGAATATCATCTGCCCAAAAAAATCTGGTCTTGATTAGTTTTCAAAGGGGAAAAAACCAATACAGATTAATATGACCTAAATTCGATTATTACATATTCGAAAACAAGAACATGGCTATGTAAGAATTGCAGAACAATAATGAATGACCTGAAACAGAGGAAAAAAATTGCGTGCAAACCCTAATAGCTAAGCAGTGACTTTGAGAGTTTGAGTCTTTCGATGCTATTTCTGTGCCATCGCTTGCTCCTAGTCCTCAGGATCCAATCTGGATGCTCCGATTACTTTTTCTAGCTCTTTTCTAATAGCTAGATTGAAAATGATGCAAAGAAATTATAATTTATTTTTTAAATAAGAACTCAAATCAATGATATTATAATATTGTAATTAAAGTTAAACGATGATCATATTTAAATTGAACTTCATCATTAATCATAAATAACTATATAAATTATTTGCACATACTTTCCCCTCTTTCGAAATTCATTGTCTTTTTGGGGAAAATTTTTTATTTCATTTTATTCGTCCTTTTAAAAACTAATTAAAAGCAGCATTTGTCAGAATTTTTTTTTTATAATATACCCTTATTTATTCAAGCAATTTGAAGAAATATTTATCAAATTTCAGGGACAAGTTCGGCAATGTACTTCCTCTAAACTATTACAATATAAGCCATTTAACTAATTTACATTTCTAAAAAAATAAAATTTGTTAAAATCTTATTTTTAATATTTTCATATCAAAAAAATTAAAGTTTGCCAAAATATTTCTTTTTTTTTTTGAATTTTCATATCTTTCCATACTTTTGAATGAAATTAATATAATATTTAATTTGTTCAAAATGTCCTCATTAATTACTTGAATGAAATATAATAAAGTAATGATATCATTAAAAAATAAAATATATTCAATGCTTTATATTATAGACCAAGTGAAAATTTTTAAAAAAATACTTTATATTATAGTCCAAGCTCCAGAGAGAATATTGAATATTATTGTAGTATTACTAAATATTTGTTAATCTATGTAAAAAAAACTTAAATTACCTATATTCTAATATTGACATGTGCATCATTTTCAGAACCAATCAATCCTCAATCATAATATTATTGACACAAGAATTGTTATCGACCTACTCACAAAGTTTAAAAGTCATTTGTTATCCTGATATACTTTTGTTCTGGTGAGTTTCCTAACTCAATTCATCTAAATTTTTTATTATATATAAAAAACAATCATTTGTTATCTACCTAGTCTTTTGTTCTTTACACATATTTGACCATGAGCTTATAATTCAAATAAAGAAATTAATCTATCCTAAACGATAGCTTAATTAATAGGATAATTTTAATAAAGACTCCTTGACCAAACTTATTTAAATTTGAAGCCTCTAAATTTCTAAAATACACTATAGTCTAGGGGTACTAATTTAATACTCAATTTTTAAAAGAAATGACAAAATTGCCTTTCATTCAAATTAATATCAAAACTTTTTTACTTTACTTGTTCATTGTCCTATACTTCACTTATTAATTTACTTACAAATTATTGTTAATTTATCTACTTAACTTGTTTTTATTTTAAGTGTTTAAATCATCGTAAAATAACATATTAATTTTTAGACTTTATATTATTCATTGCCCTACTTCACTTAATTTTATTCTAGGAAAATGAACAAGTAAAGTAGAAAAAATTAATAATATTTCGTAAGTAAATCAATAAGTAAAGTAAGGTAATTAATAAGTGAAATAGAAAATTTTTAATATTAATTTAAAAGAGGAAAAATTTTGTCATTTCTTCCAAATTTTAATATCACATCAATATGCTTGGAATTAAGGGGTCTTTATTGAATTTTTCCCTAATTAATATATTATCTTTCTTTTTTTTTTTGGCCAAGTAATATATCATATTATATTACTATCTCTGTCATTATATATAAGATATTTTTAATTTAATCTTGCACAGCAATAAAAATTTATTATTTAGTTGAAATTACATTAAATCACAATAATTTTTCAATTTTATCCTTAATAATGTCAATTAATATCATCGTGGTAGTAGGTAAAATATATAATTCATATATTTTTTATATTTTTAAGACAGGGATAAAATTGTCTAATTATTTAAAAATATCATGACACTCTTTTTATATTTGGAAACAAAATAAGCTTTTAAAAAATGCTCTTTATATAGAAAGAGAGAGACAGAGGGAGTATCTTGTTTTCATTTTAAAGACGGTTGTTTTCTTCTATTCTTTATAATAATATTTTATTTTTTATTCTTTAAAACATTTAAAAAAACATGTTATCAAATAATTTTTTTATTTTTTTTGTTGTAAAAAATAAAAAATTATTTGATAACATGTTTTTTTAAAAAATATTTTAGAGAATAAAAAATAAAATATTATTATAAAGAATTGTAAAAAATAAAAAACTATTTTAAAATAGGTTGTCAAATAAGCCTTAAAATTTTTAAGTGCTGTTGAAATACTACATCACTTATATTTTAGCCAGTAAAAATGTTAATTACAAGGTGCACATATTGGGCCCGTATGTTTAATGTTTAAGTTGTGCAGACCTTATTTTTTTCTATTAGATTTCAATTCCACTTCCTCTCTTTTCGTCAAAGAAAGTTTCTTTGAAATTAGTTGCCAGTCTTCCTAGTTTTCACTATTCATTTTTTTTACTCTTTTTTTTTGGGGCCAACATTCATTTTTCTTTTACTCCAAAAGATTGCTAAATCTTAAATTTCAAAATAATAAAAGTGGAATCACAAGCTTATTTCTGATACTTCACGTATATTTTTTTATTATGAATAAAAATAATATTAAATGCATGCATAAGGTATTATAAAAAAATTAACAATATTATAAGATAATTTTATAACTTATCAAATATAAATAGATCTTAGTTAAATAAACTATGAGTAGATTTAAAATTATCTACATTTTGATTATAGCTGCCAACATCTTATTAGAAAAACAATCCAAAATCATATTTTATACATGTAAAGACTTCAAAAATGAAACAAGCATTTTGATAGGTCAAATTTTTAGATTTTTTTCATTGTTTTAAAAAATTTAACGTTTTTATATCAAGTTCAAACCTATTTGGTTTCCTAAAATTCATTTTGAATTCTGGTTCAATAGCAATTCAATTATGGTATAACACGACTCGACCAAAAAAAAATCATTTTCTAATTTAAATTGAGATGTTAGTGAGTCTGATCAATGGTCTAATTGGTCTAACAACTCAATCTAGACTTGTTCTTAAAACATTGACACCACATTTGAAATTCAATGGCTGGCTCTAAAATGCTAAGGTTTACGTAGAAATAATGCCTAAAAGATAATCTATCAAATTGTTTTGTCTTAAATATAAATAAAAGCTACCCAATTTTAAGTGTAATTAATGCCTATTTCCTTCTTTATAACTAGAGAAGTTAATCTATACTTTCTCTTGTTCAAAATATAAGTATTTTCTCTTAACTAATCTTGATTCAAAATATAAGTAACCTAATATATGTAAAAAAAAAATTCATTTTATCCTTTGTATTTATTAATCTAGATTTTTGTGTAACATTATCTCTTACTCACCATGAAGTGCATTAATAATTGGGATTGAAGGTTAAAAAACAATATATATTTTTATAAAAAATGACAACTTTATTGATATGAAAATTATTTATATTTTGAACCAACAAAATATATAAACAAAAAAAAAATACATCCAAATGGGCCTTTAAAAAAAAATGGCCTAAAGAAACCAACAAGCTAACTATAGAATCAAAACTAGAAACAGAAACCAAAAGCAAAAGGAAAAATATAATTTTTAATCCCTATAGTTTCATCAAATTTTGCTTTTAATTTTTGTATTTTTTTCAATATTTTCAGTCCCTGTAAGGACTAAAATCACTGAAAAATGAAAACTATAGGGACCTGAAAAACAAATATCATTCAATCTTTTTAAAATTATAGAGACTAAAAGTATTGAAATTATAAAGACTAAAGATTATATTTTTCTAAAACATAAACGGGAATAAAAAAACACTTAGGAGGAGAAGGTCAATATAATGATGCTAAATTCTGGTGCATGTAGATGATAAGTTTGAACTCTCACAATAACCGATTCACAAACTAATCCATAATAAAAATTTAGAGGGAAAATTTTAGTGAGGGACCCTTGACCAAACATATTAAAAATAAGGGCCTCTGGATTTTTTGAAATTTCACTGAAAGACTTATATAGAATTGCTTTTAAATTTTGTGATGGAGATGATAAAATTGCCCTCATTTAAATGAATAACATAAATGATTTGTTTGTTTTCATACTATTATTCATTTACTTATGAAACATAGTTCGATTTTTTACTTCACTTGTTTATAATTTTAGTTTCACTTGATTTCATTCTAAATGATAGTTTTATGATAAAATAACTTGTTTATTCCCATACTCTATATTGTTCATTAACTCACGAAATGTTGTTCGTTTATATACTTCACTTGTTTTTAACCCTGAAATAAAATTAAATGAAAGTAAGCCTATAAACAAGTGGGAAAATGAATAATATTTCGTAAGTAAATGAATAGCATGTAGTATGAGAATGAACAAATCATTTATATTGTTCATTTAAATAATGACAATTTTATTATTTTCATCGTGCATTCAAATAAAATTCCGTACAAGACTCGAAAAGATTGTATCAGCTTTGGTTTTGAAA